ATCGCACAATTTCTCGGGAAGCCCATAGGAAGGGAGCCTCGAAAGAAGCGCTTTGTGCCAAACCCGATCGAAGGCCTTCGCAATGTCCAAACTAACGGCCAATGCCGGCCATTGGCCAATGCCAATTCCCTTGGATCCTCAAGGTACCTCATGAGCTGGCAGTTTACAATGGACTCCATTGTTTTTGAGAACAAGGAGGTGATGGCGATAGGCCGGTAGTTGGACGGGTCTGAGCGGTCGCCTTTTTAGGGATTGGGTGGACGAAAGCCGTCTTCCATGATTTTGGGACTACGCCTAGGGAGTAGGAGTACCCGAAAAGACGCGTTAAAACCGGTGCCAACTCTGGAGCACACGTCCTCAGCACAATTGGGGGGATTCCGTCAGGCCCACTCGACTTGTGGATGTCCAGGGAGAGGAGTGCTTTGAGAACCGAGCGCTGTGTGAACTGCACTTCCGGCATGGAGCACTCACACCGCGGGATGGTCGGCGGCGTACTCCCCCCGTCATCGAGAGTCGAGTTGGACGCAAAGAAAGATCCTAGAAGATCGGCTTTCTCCTTTGCGGTATGGGCCAGTGAGTCGTCCTCCCTGTGCAGAGATGGAAAAGATGGCTGACAGAAATTCCCCTGGACAGCCTTGGCGAGAGACCAGAATGCACGGGTTCCAGAAGGAAGGCGGACTAGTTTCTCGCCAATTCTGCCTATGTGCTCTGACTTTGCCTTGGCAATGACTCTTTTGAAGGACCTAGAGACGGAATTATACTTCTTTTTTAGAGCGCTGGTGTTTACATCCCGGGACGCTGATGCGTCAGCCCAGGCTTGGTAGCACTCCTGCTTATAGCATGATGCTATTTTACAGGAGCGACCAAACCATGGCTGAGATTTGCCCCCAATGGGCACCACAGAGGAAGGAATAAAAAGTTCCATACCCTGAAGTACCACATCAGTGACAGAATCCGCAACAACGTTGGGATCGTCCGGCGAGAAGCAAACCCGCCCCCAAGGGTAGGATGCAAAGAAAGACCGCATCCCATCCCAATCAGCTGACCTATAGTGCCAAACACGGCGGCAGCCTGCAGATTGCAACTGCGATTTCAGCGTGAGTGGCACCACACTCCGAACAAGACAATGGTCCGAGAAGCCTAAAGGGGCGTCAACGGAAATCTGATATCCGTCCGGGTGAGAGGTCAGCAGAAGGTCCAACAGGGAAGGTGCATGATCCTCCACATCTGGAATCCAAGGAGGAGAAGTAACCAGTTGTATCAGACCCTATGCCAAGGCAAAATCATAAACAGATCTCCCCGCATGATCGGTTAAACGTGAACTGAGCCATTCGGCGTGATGGGCGTTAAAGTCGCCGAGGATCACGATCTCTGCGGAGGGGATCTGCTGTAGCAACGAATCTGTAGCCATTTGGACGTGGTCGAAGAGTCGGTCTGTTTCGGCATTACCGCTATGGGACCTATAGAGGCACCCGTAGACGCGCGGATAGTCGTGGCTGTATACGCGTAGCCAAAGGATGGACAGGTCCCAACCTTCAAGTCTGCCGTGGCGTCGAGAACAGATGTCCTCTCTGACGTAAACGCAAACTCCAGCCCGAGGCACAAAGGAGTGTTCCAGTTTGTACCCCGGGTAGGAGAGATACGAGACACGACACAGCCGGAAAGGACACCTGCGTCTCGGTCAGAAAGAGCAGAGCCGGCCTCGCCGTCTCGAGATGGTAGTGGACGATGTATTCATTGAAGACGTAGGGCTTAGCAGTGAACTATAGCCATAGCAGCGATCACAATAGAACTTTTTTTAGGTCGCAGTGATACTAGACCTGCATAGCTGCTAGCACAAAAAAGATATGCAGTCTCAATCTATGCATTTACCAAAGGTTTGAAAATTTTGTTAGAATTTTGAAACAGTGCCAGCCTTTTCATCTGCTCTAATAACAGACAGATCCAATTTTTAAGCCAGCTTGATCCCGAAGAAAGAAAATATTATTTGTGTATGAAGCCGTAGGTAAGTGAGACACCAACTCATCCTTTATTGTTTGGAATGAACATTTTTTACCCTGTGATTGATACAATTAAAGTTGGATTGTTTACTTGACTTAAACTATCAAAATTCTATGATATGTGTCCATTTTTATAGAAAATAAAAATAATTCCTGAAAGGTAAAAAGCCTGTGTTGATTTCCAAATCAGTTGAACAGATTGGCATAATGTGATTTGTCTATTTGTAAATTGGTTCAGGAACTTATAAGCTTGAACCTATTATTTAAAGAAAATATTTTATCAGCAGAGCCACATAGTTTTCAGACTTATTAAAAATAATAATTGGCAGGATATCTCTCCCAAATGTGTAGACAGCACTTCGTATCTTGCTGACTATACTTGTATCTACTATAACTGTCGTTAAACAGAAACAAAGTTTTAGTACATTAAAACATTTAAAAATTTACCTACATTTCTACTATATGTTTCAGTAATGACTCTCATATCTTCGAATCTTTTCCATAGAAAATTCTATTGCCCAGAAGTTAAATTATTTCGAATTAATGAAAAAAATTGCAAGCGCATAAGCCAGAAAGCGGGCCATCTCGGCTTTTCATTAAATTTGTTGTTGGTAGTTCTTTTATCTTTTTTAACACTGTCTGCAGAACAACAGTTATAAAAGTTGTCAAACAAGATTATTAACTCTTATTATGAGAAATAATCTGTACAACTAGCACCGCAAGGTTAGCATAGTGGCATTGTCGAGCACAACACAGTAGTGTGAGCAGAATGGACATTTCTTTAATGCGAATAAGCAGAACAACTGCTATAGCAAGTGCGACAGACACAACTGTGTTTGCCCCACATATACACCTGTGGATATTTGATAGGTCTAATACTATTTAAAAACACGAAAAAGCAACTGCATAGTATAGGAACATTAAGGTTTTGTATTTAGAGGGGTGCCACTATGAGATCTCACACCACCTAAAAATTTTGCTAGGGCCTCCACTGGGCAGAATCGGCAAGGGACACCCTAGACGAAAGTTTACCGACCCATTTAGCGATATATTAAAGATGGGCAAATTAAGAGTACTCTTAACCGAAGAGCATGTATGTGTAGGTATATGGTTATAAGTGAGGCAAGAAAGGTGTGTTAATGTCCTCCAGACCGAATTTCGGCCACGGCGGCCTGCCTCAACTGAGGCTAGCCAACTGCCATACCACCTTCTCACCTATCTGTGCTACCAAATAGAAGTGCACACACCGCAGCGCATTGTTCCAGTCTGTAGGATATAAAGAGCAGGTTATTTACAGGCTCTGCTGAACATAGGCCTCCCCTATAGATTGCCTATAGGGGTTGCCAGCTTCCACGCTTGGCAAGTGGGTTGGCAACCAGTTTTTTATTTTTAGTCACTATGAGGAAGATGCTGCTGCCCATTTTCCGATTTGTTTCCCTCAATCGCCTCTTACGATACATACTTACATGACCAAGAATTAAAAACAAGTTCAATATATTCTTTGTGTTAATTTGACAAGGTGATTAAAAGACATGGGTAAAATTTACTGTAAAAATAAAAGTAAGGAAATACTTCACGAACCCTTTAATTTTATTACTGTTTATTGTATTTTTATGTAAATTGCTCTGAAATTTTGTTTTACAGGAGTCTAAATGTATTATAAAATGTTGCATCCATTTCTATAATTTGTCCAAAATTTAGGAGTACCTTAGCTATGTAACAAAACATGCATGTAAAGTTTATGCAGGCCATAAATCAGCAAAATAAAATAAGACATAGGCCCATTCTATTATACATACATAGAAATAGCTAAGAAATGGTTGGGAATTAATTTGATAGTGCCTAGTTTTATCCCTACATATAAGATTCAATTGCTGCCAGCGCTTTTAAAAACAATTTATAGTTTAAAAACATAACTTAATTATTTCCTGGGCACATAATATATCAAAATATTTCTCCTAAAAACATAAAATGAAATCTGTTTGATCAATCAATCACTTCAAGGTTTATACATCTTACAGGATTTTAAGGAAAATGATTCAATAGCTAGTTTCACTTTAAGCAATACCTAAGAAATACAAGGTTTTCAATTTTATGCTTTTGCATCAAAGAATGGCTTGAATAATTATTTGAATTTAAATTTGATGTTATATTCGTAGCTAAAATCCAAATATTTTTATTAAGATAGTTTTAGAAATATTTTTACTTCTCTTATGTATAAGCAAAAAAAGGTTATTAAACCAATACTTTTATAAATAGCAATATTAAAATTGACTGAGTTTAGAAAACAAACAAAATATTTGAATAAATTGTTGAGAATTGAAGAGACTTTTTTACATTAACTCTATAAAATTTGATCGGACATAAATAAAGCATGAAATAGAAGTAAACAATGAGTAAGCTACAATTTACTAAGTTAAAAAATTCTAACCTTCGAAAAGAAATAGAAAAATTTTATAGTCCCTATAGCATATATAAACATATCTTAAATGTCAAAATTGTCCATTAGGAGTCTATTGCAAAATGTTATGAATAATTTTTTGCAATTATCCCTTTGAGATGTATTGTCATTTGTGAATAATTAAATTGTAATGAATAGTTCCTTACTTATCCACAGGATGTAGACAGTTATGAATAAGAAACTCATAGTTTTAAAATATTTTTTTTACCAATTCCAGGCAATGGACTGTCTGTAATTAGAGTCAAAAAAAATTGCACTTTAAGTCCCCAGACTACTGTGCTGCTCCAGTTTTAATGTTATCACAAACAACTTGTCTGAATAATGTTTTGTGACAAATGTATGTCATGCTTGCCACTAAAATTCATTCTCTATACATATTTGAATGACACGGTCAATGGTTTAAAACTTATTATAAAATATTTTTTCCAAACAAGTCACTATAAAACTAGAGGGGTCTACACAACATTTTTTGAGGATTTATACTTCAAGTTACAACTGTACATGATGATCGCTAATTATAGTCACTTTGAGAATGAATTTTATGATACGGAAAAAGCTTTCTCTGAAAAAGACTTTACATAAGCTTCATGTAATTTGTTTACAAAATCAGCATCATGTTTAAGAAGGTAGTTGAATGCTTGCAAAAGCTGATTCCTAGTCAGTGGCTCAGGGGACGGCTGGACATCACCACCCGTTGTGACGGTGAACATTGTTGGTGGCATCAGAGCCGGTTTCTGCTGAGCAGTGAGAGGATTAATCAAAGGAAACATTCCCATCTCTTCAAACTTGTTACCATTTAATGAGCTTACCGGATGACTGATGTCCTGCGATTGGTTCAAATATGTTGCCAATGGTGATGTTGGTTTTGGTGATGAAATATGCATAAGATTTAGTTCACTCTCCAATGGATTGGGACCATTTGCCTCCACTGAATCTAAAACTTGTATCTTTTTCATATTTGGTATCCTTTGCTGGCATTGTGAGTCAATTGGTGTGGATTTTAATGGAAATCCACTGTTCTGACGCATAGTGGAATCTAGTGAAATGTTGCCATTTGAATTCTGGTTCTCTTGTGGAGTGACAGACCTTTGTTGTTTCTCTATATGTTCTACTGAGTGAGCAGGATTACTCATAAGTCTTTGTAGGAGTAATGGGGCTTCACGGGAATCTGAGGGTCGTGGACCAAAAAGACCCGGTGATGGAAGGGAAGACACTGCAGGCATCTGCGCTGCTGCACCGCTACCCGCTTTCGCAAAGAAGTCCATGACACTTTGCGACGTCATATCAGGCGCTCTTGACGGTGTCGAATCAGTTTTGTTTGATAGTCCTTTATTAGAATTAAAGTCATCTTGAGCTTTGCTCAGCATGCTAAATATATCAACTGGGGCACTGGACTTAGCAGGAGCATTATATACAGGGTTTTGCACCATGTTATCACTTGGCTTCATTGAATCTTTAACAATAGAATTCAACTTCGTGGCTACCCTAACACACTCGTCTTTATCGTAAAACCATATGCCGTAAATACGGCACTTAGCATTCCTATACAGCAAAAAAGGTTCTTTTAACTGCAATTCTATACCCTTCGAAACTGGCTCAATCAAATTATTCGTATTTAGTCTGTTCATAATCACCAAACTGTGGTAAGGTTCACCATTTCTACTGTACACAAACAATGCGCCTTCAATATTAGTTTTTTCCCATTCATTTTCTTCGAAAGTGTAAAGTGCAACGTGGGTAGCACTATCTATTATTTCTCTGGCATATGGATCAGCCCTCTTTAGAGCTGCAAAATTCATACGTAGACCGGTGTCAGCCATTTTAATGCAACAAAACACCACTTTTTACACAACGAGCATCACAGTAAAATGACAAGAAGCAGGAATGAAGATAATCGCCATTTTAGGTACGTTCCGTTACATACATACAAATACAATACGGTATTAAATGGTTATCTTTTTATTAATACAACTAGGTAATAATTAATTTAAAATTTACTCTGTGATTTCATTTTAACATGGTACTATCGTCATTATTTATTTGTTACTAGCGATCCGCCCGGCCCCGGATTCGCACGGGTGATTTCTTGATCTCGACAATAGCGCGAACAAAGACAAACATCATTGAGCTATTATGTACTACGTACTAGAGGCGACACTGCATTTAGTTACTCTGTTCCACTCAACTGCGGTGCATGCACCGTACTTTAATCAGTCACTCGCTAGGCGCTTGTAGGGTTGTCACGTGTTGTGTTGATTTAAAAAAAATCTCTTGATAAAAATATGCAGTCGTGTGTACTTAGATATTGCACAAACAACTCAAGAACTAAAAACCAACCTAAACCCAAGTCAGTAAAAACCAAGGTATTACTTTTCATTGGTTAATAAGATACTTAATCAATAAAGAAGTATTATAAATTAATAATAAAATAAATTATTCCTAAGACGCCATCTTGTGTCATGTAATATAGATTATGAAATTAATTTGTTCAGATGCGACATTTCTATGGGTACTTATGTATAGGATGAATATATAATTATTATACACATTTTTTTGTAGAAACATATATGAGTTATCATAATTAGGCCAATTTTTTATATTTAAATCTGCTCATTATTCTTTTATATTATTTTTAGGTTTCCACATCAAAGTCAAAGTGGAATAAATTCGTCCATTTTTAACTGTCGCGTGTCCAGCATATATGAACGACGCTTATTCTAATTTAAACAAATATATTTGTAATTTAATTTTTATATTAATGAGTTTTGTTAAACATACATTTAGTATGTTTTTTTATATTTGACATAGATACCTTTTAAAATATTCAGATAAAAATATTAAATGTAATTGTGAATATAAAGAATATAATGTTAAATAAACAAATATACTTATATACAAAATAAAAGACAAAATTTGAAAATTCTCGATATAATTTACCTATTTAACAATACAATATATTATTACCTACTGATCGTTCTACCTATGTTTATTCTATGATAAAAAACCAACCGCGCGAACACAGAGTAGCGCACATGTTTCGTTTGAAATAGCTGTTCTGGTACGTGAGTACATATTACTTCAATGACAAACACACACAAAAAATTTCATCAAAATCAATCTAACCATTTTCGAGTTTTAGCGAAACTAACGGACTGTAATTAATTTTTATATGTAGAGATTATTTATTCTTTATGTTCAACAAGGAATGAAACTATTTTTACATAGTTTAATTGGTGATTGTTAAAGACTAGAAATTGTTACTACGTGTGATTGACAGCAAAGTATAAAGTAATTTCGCAAGAAAGGGTTCCATAGCTGTGCCATCATTTATTAATAATTATTAACATAACGCATAGTGCCATATTTTAGTGCGCTATCTCGTCATATCGCATAGCGCCGCCATGGCGCTATGGCGCTTTGGCGCTATTAATATCTAGCGTCAACTACTTCTAGCAGTAGCACTGTTAGGAGAGAACGTGTGCCACAAATTTGATCTAGTAGTACGCTATTCATCGCTCGTGACCTAAATTAGTGTTAGACGTTGTTTATTTAGTGTATAAGTACTGTATATTTATTTGTGATTGAAGGACACGGTTGTCTGCTACGCAAATAGCCTTACTACTGTAAATAAAATATAGATAAAAAAGTATATTTAATAGTGTACGTAAATATTTGATTTGTATATATACAATCACTTAACTTTTAAATACGCCTTTAATATATTTATAATTTACGTTAAGATTAAAATATCGTTTACATCGAATAAAGACAGTCGTAAGCCTGAAAAGTATAAAAGACTGTTCCTTAGTTTTTTCTTTACTGTTTTATTTTATTTTAGTCTAAAAATGCGATTTATTACGAATTAATGTTCTTATATAGTAAGCGGTCTATCTAACGAACAACATGTTATATAACATGCTACAAGATTTAGTGTGCTGCAAAACTTTACGCGCTTGCCGGCCTCCCACACGCTTTCTTGTAAATAGTGCGCTTTAACATAGCGCATTTATTAGCGCACTAGAAATCTATTGTGTATATACTGTGACTCCAAAGTCGTTGATGTTCTTCTAGCTTCTCCGACGTACTTCAGCTCACTGATCCAAACCAAGCAACTAACCTGTTTATTAGTAAACTTCAGGCTGTGATAGATCAACACTCCAAGCCCAAGCTCTTGCCCAGCCGACGAAGGATTCTCAAACCCTGGATGACTCCTGGGTTATTAAGATGTATTCGAAATAGAGACGGCATGCATAAGAAACTTAAAAAAGACCCCCAAAATGACATACTTCGAAAAACTTACTGTCGCTACCATAATTTCTGCAATTCCCTTCTTAGGAAGATTAGGATAGCATATGATAGAGAGCGGATAAATAAGGCTGGAAATAATAATAAAAAATTATGGAACGCTATCAGAGATATTACAAACATGAATAAACAGCACTCCAACTGCAACGACCTCCTCACTTTTATGTCTACCACCTCCCAATCACTTAATAGTACAAATGCTTTTTGTGGCCGTAGTATGAAAAGGGGAGATCTCCCACCGGGCAAGGTGTTCTGCCCGGGGAGCGGCCAACACTCCGAGTGATAGTTCGGAGAAGTTCTATATATACTGTTTATGATTCGGAATATTAATAGAGCGATTTAGGCTTCGGTGTGTTTCACTTGTAGTGCAACGACAGCGCCGCTACATCACCCCCCCTGTTCAGACCAGAGGTCGATATTGCAGCCTCGTTGCCGACGAATGTGCAAATGCCAGGAGATTGGCTTGTAGTCTGCGGTGAGTTGAGACGAAGGCAAGTAATCTGCGAGAGTGCCGTGAAGCAGAGGCGAGCAGTAAGGCTCAGAGCCGTGCTGAACACTGTACCGCAGAGTGTAGCTTGAAGGAACAGGAAGCATTACTATTCCAGTGCTGCGATGAACCTTGTGAAGCTAGATGGCTTGCAGGATATGAAGACTGCAGACGATATCTGCTCGGATGCGAATGAGGGGTATTCTATGACGATGATGAAGCTTGAAGTTTCCGAAGGTTGTTTGGTTGCGTGTTCAGATCACGTTGGATGGTCACCACTGTGATAGTGGTACGTCGCAGGGTGTTCCTTCTTGGTGCTCGTACGGGATCTTCCCCCTCGGTGTTCGTACGGGATCTTCCCCCTCGCTGTTCGTACGGGGTCACCACTGTGATCGTAGTATGAAAAGGGGAGATCTCCCACCGGGCAAGGTGTTCTGCCCGGGGAGCGGCCAACACTCCGAGTGATAGTTCGGAGAAGTTCTATATATACTGTTTATGATTCGGAATATTGATAGCGCGATTTAGGCTTCGGTGTGTTTCACTTGTAGTGCAACGACAGCGCCGCTACATTTTTTTGCAAATATTGGTAAATCTCTCACTGAGGATATACTTCTTGCCTCCACTCCCTCCCCCTAAAAATTCCCAATACCTCAAGCAAATCAGACCCTCGTTCTTCTTAACACTACTCCATGCGAAGTTGACTCCCTCATCTTATCACTCAAGGAAAACTGTGCGGTTGGGTGGGATAATATTCCCTCATGTATCCTTAAATGCGGAAAGGATTTACTCGTTCCTGCTATATGCCATTTATGCAACCTGAGTCTTTCTTCAGGTTGCTTCCCTGATGCCCTCAAGAAAGTCCTAGTTCATCCCATTCACAAGAGTGGAGATCGAAGCCAGCCCAATAATTACCGCCCCATTTCGGTCTTACCCGCTTGTCTAAGATCCTGGAGAGGCTGATCAACAACCAGTTAATCGAATTCCTAGAGAAAATGAACCTACTGTCCCCTGAGCAATTTGTTTTTAGATCTGGCAGATCTACAGCAGATGCGGTTCACTCTCTCACAGATCATGTGATTAGAAACTTAGACAGGGGTAATAAATGTTTATCGGTCTTCCTGGACTTGGCCAAGGCCTTCGACACGGTTTCGATTCCCATCCTCTTGTCTAAACTGGAGGCAATTGGTGTCAGAGGTACCCAACTATCCCTCTTCCAGAGTTATTTTTCAAACCGAAACCAGGCTGTTACTATCAACGGAAAAGTGAGTTCTGAACTATCCATTAGTTACCGTGTTCCCCAGGGAAGCATTCCTGGCCCGACGCTCTTCTTGGTCTATATCAATGACCTCTGCTCTCCCAAAATTCCTAGTTGTAAGATTGTCTCCTTTGCAGACGATACCGCGCTAATTTTCTCGGCCTGTTCCTGGAAAGATACCTTCCAACTTGCCCAATCTGATTTGAACTTAGTCTCTCTCTCTGGCTCCGTACTAATCTACTCACTCTCAATTCCAAAAAAACCCAGTATATCACCTTCTCCCTCCGCAGTATTCCACCCAAAGTATTAGAAAATTTTCGATTAATTGATCATTCCCATTCTGACCACCCCTTCTTCTCATGTAACTGTGAACCTCTTACCTCGACCGATTCCACAAAATATTTAGGTATTATTATAGACAATAAACTGACCTTCCAGCCACACATCAACCTCACTACTTGTAGACTGCGTAAATTTATGTTCGTTTTTAAAAATCTTCGCCAAGTCGCAGATCCTTGTCTAGTTAGATCAGTCTATTTAGCACTTTGTCAGTCACTTATAGTCTACTGTTTAACAACCTGGGGTGGCGCGAGTAAGTCAATACTAATTAAGCTGGAAAGAGCCCAAAGAGCGGTCCTCAAAGTCTGCACGTTCAAACCCCTGCTATCACCAACCTTCGATCTTTATCAGTATTGTGAGGTTCTTTTAGTTCGCCAACTCTTTATTTTATTAACTGTCCTCAAACAACATAGTAGTTGTAGCTATGATACCTCTTTAATGTTTTCCCAGCGAAATCACCTTGTAGTACGTTCAACCCCGTTTAAAACCCTAACCTCACAACGCTTTTTCTGTTTCTTGGGCCCCTTCCTCTATAATAGACTACATCGTGTGCTCAACATCTTTCCTCTTACAAAACTGTCCTGCAAATCCAGAGTCTCTAATTAATTATTTGCAGACTATGAACTATGAGGAGACTGAATCTCTCCTCTATCCTATCAGGTACATATACTAACACCCACACCCACTCTGACACACGCACACACACACTAACACACACACACACACACACACACACACACACACATACACACAAACACACACACACAATTTCTCTTTCTTTTCTCTCTTTTTTGATTACTTTGCAATCACTATCTGTACCATAATGATCCACATCCTGTGAGTGCTGGTGCTCTGAAACACAGGCTCTTAGCCTAGCTCGGACGCCAGTCTCTCACAATCTAAATATGTTTTTCCCTGGTGAAAACCTCTGTTCATTACTATACTAGTTTTTTAGATTGTGGAGAAAATAAAGAATTTTTATTATTATTATTATTATCTGATTTACTATTGCAATTAGTGCTGCACTACGCTTGTCCATTGCATTTGTACATAATATAAAAATTAATATATTTTGTAACACTGAATAAATTTTATTGTTGTTTCCGAGCTCCAATTGTTATTAGCGGACATTTTAATAGAGATTAGGATAATTTAAAAACATAAACACGCACACTGCTTGGTGACGAACGAACGAGTGGTGAGTGGCTAAGTGACAAGAGAGCGCGTGTTCATGCGTGCCGAGCGGGATATCAAGTCGCTGCGGGGGCAGAAGAATGAAGTAGAAAGATGGGTACTCGGCCTAGTAAACAGATTTGGGATTCTAGTGTCTCTCTCCCATCTCTGCTCGACCTAGCAATCGGCCGAGCACTCGTTAAAATGTTTATACCAACTGAGCACTCGGCCGAGGACACTGACTCGCCACTGTAATCGTTAGGTGTAATCAACTCCTTATTCTTTCACTGACTCGCTTAATTCGTTCATGTACAGTCAGTTCAAACTCTAGTTAGGTAGATCCAACTCAAATTAACTTGAGTTAAGCGCAACTCGAGTTGACTCGAGTTTGTAACTCGATTTGATCCATCACTAGTTATCTTCTTCGCCTGCCTGTCAGCTCCGTTTGAAGCATGGAGTGTAGAGGTAGTTTGATTATTTTCTATGCTCAAAGGTTTGAAGTAATAGTTCTGTAATTCTGTTTCTGTGCTTGTCATAATGCTGATTAATACTTAATATAGCGCATAGCGCCATATTATAGCGCGCTATCTCTCCATAGCTCATAGCGCGTACTATGTAAGCTGTCGCCATGGCGCTATGGCGCTTCGGCGCTAATAAGTATTAATATCTAGCGGGAACTAGAACTAACTTTAACAGCAGCGCTGTTGGGACTGGACGTGTGACGCAAATTTGATCTAGTAGAACGCTATTCATCTCGCGCCATCTAATTAAGTGTAAGACGTTGTTTAGTTAGTGATACTATATATTTATAAATTATCTAGGGACACAGTTGTCTGCTACAAAAGTAGCCTAAATAATCTTTTAATAGTGTACGTAAATAGTTTATTTTTGTATTTGCAATTAATAAACTTTTAAATACGCCTTTAATTGATTTATAATTTACATTAATGTTAAATTAACGTTTACATCGATTATAGATAGTCGTAAGCCTGAAAAGTATGAAAGAGTGTTCTTTGTTTTTTATTTACTGTTTTAATTTCATTTAGTCTAAAATGAGACTTATTACGAAATAATGTTCTTGCTGCAAAACTTAACGCGCTTGCCGGCCTCTTACACACTTTCTTATAAATAGCGCGTTATAACATAGCTTATTTAATAGCGCGCTAGATATTTATAGTTTATAGTCTATAGCGTGCTATTGATTTATAGTCGTTTTGAACAACTTTAGCCTGTCAGTCTGAAATTGGTCTGACGCCGAGTGAGTTGAAAATACTGTGCGTGACACATGGACAAAACTAAAAAGTGGGAACAACAAGTCAACAAGTTGAAATAAACTTTTAAATCTAAATATAAAATAATACTTTACTTTCCATAAAGTATTAAATAGTCTTTTAAGACGTATTGCAAATTTTACGTTAGTGAGAAACTATATTATATATGGGAATTAACATTTTCCAACACTCGCTCACAATATTTACCAATTAAATAAAATAAAAACCACAATAATAATGCCTGAAGCAAAAGTGCTCGTGATAGGAAGTGGAGGCCGGGAGCACGCTCTTTGCTGGAAATTAGCGGAGTCCCCTAATGTGAAGCAAATTTACTGTGCACCCGGCAGCGTCGGCATTTCTTCGGTGGACAAGGTTGAAAGCATTGATATTAACATCAAAGACTTTCAAGTAAGTTTAAAGTGTGATTTTCAATTGAATATTAACAATAATTTTACTCAATTTGATCAGGAAGTTCCTATGGCTTTTGAGAAACATTTAACTGACATTCCTTTTTTGATAACAAAATCATTAAATTCTTCTCCTTTTGTCGCCGAATCATTGCTTAAACAAATTAAAAAAATTTGTTCGAATACTTTTAAACTAGACTAGAGCCGTGGTAGCTCAGATGGTTAGCGCTCGCTGTAAATTTCACAGTATGTGAGCAAACCGGGTTCGATCCCCGCCGGCACCAATGAAATTGTTAATTGAAATTTTAAGTGCTGATTTACCACATGCTCGGCAGTGAAGGAAAACGTGAGGAAACCTGCATGTCTGAGGAATAAGAAAAAAATATTTTGAAGACGTGAAGTTCGCCAACACACATTGGGGTTGCGCGGCGGACACTTCCTTGCCCTAAAACCCTCTCAGAAATGAGGGGAGGCCTGTGCCCAGCAATGGGACATATATAGGCTGTAACTTTACTATTAAACTCCACAAAGTAATGTCAAAAGATATTGTCAAATAGGTTTAAAATTATTGATGTTCAGAAAACGGCAGATTTATGAGAGATTTCTATTTAAATTACTGTACCTATAATTGATACCTTATCTATTCTGCTATTTTAATTTGGAGTCTTTCCTGATTTAATGAAACAATGAAGTTATACCATAGAATAAATAATAGTACAAGAACAGAACGATGACTCTCTGTTAGCAAACTTGCGAGTTTCAACCTGGTTACAATGTTGCTAATGTTCATAATACTTTGCACGCCTCGGAAGCGACTTTTGCAAAATTTGCCTACCGATTCAATGGTCAAAAAAATCTATGCAGCATGCATATTAAATCAAAATGCACCTTAAATCAAAATCATGCGAGAGTCTGTATCACTTAGTCCATTACATGCCTTTGTTAAGGCTGCTCCTACTGTAGGGTTAGGTGTTGTGAGAAAACAAATTGAATCCTTTGATATTTGTTGGTAGTTGAATAGATTGGGATATTATGCAATGTGTTAGTAATTTGCTGATAATTGGAATATTATTGTTTAATGTAAGGTAGGTTGAAGGTAGTAGAAGGTATAACTTCATTGTTTCATTAAATCAGGAAAGACTCCAAATTAAAATAGCAGAATAGATAAGGTATCAATATATTATCTATATCTAGTATATAGTATTAGCAGGTCTCTATCACTCTTGCTACCTACGTGAAATAATTACCTAAAATCGCGAAGCGCCCGGGCGAAATAACGCAGTCAGAGCTAGCGCGTTGGAGGCGATTGAATGTTAAAGTTTTTAACGCTGTTTACGTATATAACTTTTTGTAAATATTGTTGAAATAGTTTTTGTTTTTAGTATATGTTTTCAGTATGTGTTTAGTATATTTAAATATAGTATAGTATAAAATAGTTCAAAAGTTTTAATGTAATTTATGAACTATATATTATGTATATTACCCATTATTTATTAAATTTTAATATGGCAAAACGTCATTCCTACCAACAAAATATTTCAGATATATCATTCTTTATTACCAAAGGATTTTAGTAGGAAGGAAAACGTAAATTTATTTAATTTTTATCGCTAGATAGGTACTTATAGCAAAAAGAATTAGGTAATAATTTATTTAATATCTACGAACTTTATTACAAAATTTAGTAAAAATTTACTTCACTATCCAAGTATCTACTTACGTACATATACTTGCCTTTTGTATTAAAATATTTTTATCTAAGTAGAATACAATTACATTTCTTTTAGAAATCGTATTTCAAGTTTATTTGTTGTTTTCACTATCTACCTTTTCCTTCCGAGCCAAGCGTCGCGATTCCCGACGAATGGCCTTGCAAGTTGCACACTTCTGCAGCTTCGGCTTATTGTTCGCCTTTGGCGACCAGCTTCAGCCGCTACGACTCGCACGGGTACCTGCAATTTGCTATGCGAGAGGGGGCTACTCTCCCTCCGCGCCTACGGTTTTACAAAAACACTCTAGGAGTAGGGCAGACAAGACTACGTGGAGTTGGGCGTGCTGATTCAATTTGAATACAGATGCAATCAGATCAGATATCTTATCTATAAAGTGCCTTCGCTCCCGCCACGACCTTCTAACCTATTACAACTCAAAGTATTGGTGTTCAAGTATTTCTGTGTGTTAAAGTATTTCTGGGCAGTTTTAAACAATTCAGAAATAAAACACAGTATATTATAATTGTTTCTTTATTGTTTGTAAACATAATTTATTATTTTTATTAATTTCTTAAAAGGATCTCTTTTATTCTTTATAATATTCCTTCTCCATAAATATTCATGTATTAAGTCGGTAAAATTTTCTCTATTGTTATAGTTGTCATTAGCGAAATATCTTTTGACGATAAGCCACTGAGACTCAATTCTTTAAGTGTGGGTCAGCTGTCTGCTGCCACAAAAATGTTTTCAGGGCCACTATTATTATTTACTTTTTTGTGTATGTACCCATAATTTTCTAACCCATCATAAGCCCGCCAAAAATCAGTATGAATAATGATGCCTTCGCCACATGTTTTTGAATCAAGGGCATTAAAACTTCAGAAGATCTCACATTTAGGGGGCAAATTTCTAGTCCTAATTCTTCAGTATCATTTTCGATCATGCCCAGCGCCCAATGTGCTTTGAATTGACCTTCAATGTGCTGACCTAAAATAAGATTAAGTATTAGTTTAAAATTTTATTGATAAACATTAGCATATATCATCTCCAGGTTGTTAACTATAATGCATGCATTTAGCCATAACTCACCTTTATTATAGTTCCTTTTTCCAAGTTTACTTTCATCAACTTGGACAATTTATCCTGGACCGCCAATTTTGCCAGGAAACTTAATAATGATGAACCTGAACCTCCCAACAGTAATTAAACCAATCATTAATGGTTCCCTTTCTGAATAATCTTCTTTTAGAGTCATATCATAACTCCACTTATTTGCATATGCAAACATTAGTTAAAACACTTGAGTCATTGTTAATTTAATATTCTCAAACGAAATTCCTTTGCCAGGGCTAACTTTTGTCTTAGATCTGCATGGGCTTCGGTTGCAGACTAATGAGCCCACCATTCTGTTGATGGAGTATTCTACACACATTTTTTTTATGGTAGCTACAAGTTGTTGCTGGGATCATACCTTTTTGTACCGTTTAGATTGCTTTCATCTCCTCGATATATAAATGACGTTTTACTGACGGTTCGCCACTGACAAAATCGCGATTCGTAAATGGCTGAGGTTCCTCCGAATCAGACATTTTTAATATTATATGCGTAGTGTCTGGTGTAGAAAACCAGGTAAGTTGTGTAAGCAAGTAATCGAAATCCGAATTTGCACACAAGTCAATCGAGTAGGTTGAAAATCGATGTCTGGGTTACAAAAGTAGATAAGTTGTTGTGTAGGCAAGCATTCGGTATCCAAAAAAGAGAAAACAGTTGTCAATAAAAGCTACAATAATACACTGGAGAGCACACATTCACGCAAGAAGAGCAACCAACGACGAAATGCATAAAAATTAGTATGTCATACGATTTGCCACATAACAGAGATGCACTTAATGCTATCCAGCTTTCACAGTAACAGCATACGTTTTTCCATGTTTTACTCATTTTAGGTTATAATAGTTTTTATTTATTTTTTCCATAACAGTGTTACCTTTTAATGTGAGTGGTATTATTATAATCGGGGACCAAACCTCTACTAAATAAAACACCTTACTCCCCTAAATTCCTACCAAACTATTCTAAATCCAACCCTAAAATGCGCATAAGGGAATATAAAGAAGTATGGATTAGCTAGTACTCCATCCACCAATCTACATTGGTACGCGTGGTGGAGTACTGCACAAAATTAGTGTATAGGGGTAGCCTTGTGTCCCAGCAGTGGATCAATATTTATGCTAATGATGATGTTTTGTTATTTTTAATTAAAATTGACAGCAGTTTAGATTGCTTAAGTGCTTAAGTATATAATTTGTACATGAAAAATGATGCATGTCCAGAATAATAGATTATAGGACTTATAAGAGAAATATACTTTTTTGTTAACGTAAGGCGCACGTCAGCTCGAGCGTGCGAGTGACAGCCTCAATGACTTTGCCTCTTGTAGGCGGCCATGCAGCGTAGGTATATTTTCATGCCTTTAGGTACAGAGTGGGACAGGCCTGGTCATACCTTTATTTAAATAAAAAAAATACATTAGACCTTACCAATTAAAGACCAATTTCTGTACTACCAACATTTAGTAAAGGTTTTGAAAAAATAATTTTAGATCTGATGTTAAATTTTTTAAATATAAATATTGCTTTATAAAAATCAGTTTAAAACAAGGGTTCACTCTACAACTGACGCCGAATTTGAACATATTAAACATATTTTTTTGTGCATAGGAGAGTTCAGACTGTGTTCACCATGAAACATTAATCAGGAAGCTATAGTACTATGGTGTGAAAAACACAGCGCTTAAACTTATTGTTTTATATTTAAGTAATAGAATGCAGAAAGTTATTATTAATGATAAAAGTTCTTCCGATCCGGACCTGTACTAATGGGGGTCCATCAAGGCTCAATTCTCGGACCATTACTATTTTTAGAATATATTAATGACTTACCTTCCCTTGTAAAGGATGATCATGATGTGGAATTTTACTACGGAGAAATGCGGCTGATTTGGAAACTATTTTTGTTTTGCAGAAGTGCGCCATAAGAGTTATTTAAAACATAAATCAGACAGAATCTATTAGAGAAAAATTTACATAAATACCGTAGAGCCTCGATAATTCGAATGCCTGAATAATCTGAATGATCTCCCCTGCTCAAATAGATACACTAAAAGCTCTTTATTCGTAGGGTATATGTTTCGTAAATATGCCGCGAATGCAGAAACCGTGAATATGGAATGGTAATTTATATGGGATTATACGTTATTATGAGTATACAATCCTATGTGACAAAACAAAAAACAAATATATAAAAAAATCAATTTAATTGAAGTTTTTGATTTGATTAATTGTTATCTTTGGGCTTAGGCAATGTTTTAAAGAGTTTTGTAATTTTTTCTTGCTTGGCGGTTTTCAAAAGCTCCTTCAATTCAGACTGAAATTCACAAATGGCACTAGCAATTTGCCTCTTAAAAATGAGACTTCGTTCCATAGAGGGATCAATTTTCGTAAAGAAATCACAAAGCTCATTTGCCATTCTTATACCTTCACTAAGATTTTTAAAATTAAATATCACGTTTCTAGTGCTTGTTGAAGCCTCTCCTTCAATGGGCTGTGAATTTAATATTTACTCCAAGTCGGTTTCAGTCAAATCTTCATCTTGCGGTTTAAGAAAATCCTGAATGTCACTTGATTTGCGAATGGTATAGGATGAGCGTCCTATACCATTCGCAATTTCGGCTATGATTGCAGTCAAATTTGAATTTGCACAGATTCTTCGTCATTTTACGCAGTCAGAGCAGTCCACAGTTTTTTCCAGCATGATTACAATGTGTATGACTTCAGTTTTTCTAGTGATTCTTTTATGTTTATGATGCATTTTGCTATGTCAAATTTCTTCCAGCATTCTATAACATTCATATCAGGATCACATTCCATATTATTCAATATGATTTTGAAGGTCTAATGTAATAGAGCTTAATGGCCTGGATTATTCCTTGGTCAATAGGTTGTAGCAAAGCCGTCATGTTGGGAGGTAAAAATATAATTTTTTATATTTGGATGCATAGTTTCAAGCTCGCGAGGATTACCTGGTGCATTGTCAAAAATTAGAACTGCTTTAAAGTCTCAACTCATTTTTTATAAATAAGTTTCAACTTCAGAAACAAAACAATTCCAGAACCAGGCACAAAAAATAGCGCTTGTAACCCAAGCTTTCTTATTAGGACGCCAAAACACCTGCAAGTCGTCCTTGTTTTGATTTTTGAAGCATCAGTGGTTTAATGACACAATCTCCAGATGCATTAAACATAGCAGCAGTGTAACTCTATCCTTTGCTGCCTTAAATCCAGGGGCAGACTTTTCGCTTTTAGAAATTAATGTTTTGTTTGGCATTCTCTTCCAAAACAGTGTACCTTTGTCTGCATTAATTACTTGCTCTGGTTTGTATCCTCTAATACTTTGTATTATACTAGATTTTTTTACAATTAATACATATTGATTAAAATTTGTATAATACAGTTTTTATAATTTAAAGTATATAATAATAATCTTTATTGATAAACATAATATTACATGCACAAAAATTATAGTGGTCAACAGACCCTAAACTGGGATATTATACCTGTATTTCAGGGGCTGGTTCATAAAAATATATACATTATATAATCCGGACTCCTCATTAATCCAAACAGGCTGTAAATTGTGCGTTCGGATTATCGAGGTCCTAGTGTATATTAGTGTATGTATATTAACTTAAGCCTCTCAGTATATTCACGAAAATTTAATGTATGTTCACAAAAACTAAGGTAGTTTTATTTTAAAAAAAGGTGATATACACTCTGTAGACACTATAGTTCATAAAAGATAGCTTGATCTCTGCGACAGCTGTCAGTAAAATCACGCCTATGAAGTCCTGAATTTCTTAGTAGTACAGACAGTACCTGTCAATGTCATACTTTATAGGCGTGCACTAATTAGGTCGGCATGCCATTTTCAATCCCATTCTTTAACCACTCGGGTAGTATATGCTATTACAAAACTCTGTTGCCTTTTTCCATTGTACAAAAAAAGGGTTCTAATTAATCTGATTTGTATATAATGCTATAGCAGAATTTCACATTATTGTGGTCAGTTAAAATATACCATTGATAAGGTCACTCAAAATTCATACCATTAAAAAAAGCGGTCTAGGTGCAAGCGGAAAGGTCCACACGACTAACTTCCCAGTGGAAAGAATAAAAAATATCCTATATTTTATATAACTTTTCATTCGGCACATAAAACGACTTGATCGATTTTGCTCAAAATTTAATGAGGTCTAAGTTACATAATTATCCCATGTCAATATCACTCTTTATTCTCGAGATACACGAGGTGAAAACTGAATCCGAACATACATACATACGTACACATGTGCACACACGGACATCCTCATAAAAACCATACTATTCGACTCTTAAAGACCTTGAAACGTGAGATATGTTAAAATTTCCAATTTGCCAAAAATCGGACCCATTACAATAACTTCCCATTGGGAAGTTAATAGAGGTCACTGGAAATAAGTAGATTGACACCTTTCATGTTAAAGTTAAAGTTACAGCCTATGTAATATGTGCCACATGTGTGGCAATCAAATGTCGATGTGCTGCCCCAGTGCAGTGCTTGTTGGCGAACTTCAAATGTCTTCAATTTTTTTATTATTATAAATTAATGAAAAAAAAAAACAATTATAATATATGTATGTGATTTGGAAGCTCTCGCACTCTACATCCTTGAAGTGTAGAATTAATTACATTTCAAGGATGTAGAGTGTGCTAGACAAAACAGAAGACAAAAATATCCTGCTAAATGTCAACACACTCCTTTTGCAATATTTACATAAACAATTTACACCTCTCTTTTATTCCCTCTATTTCTGCTACAGTTATATTACAGAGCTGAATTTTTCAGAGGGTTATTTATTTGTTTTTGCAGTGTTGAAAAATCTCTAAAATTGACACACACAGACTCTTTCTGACTGATAGATCATCATAATTGAGGTTACTTTTAATTGACTTAGATTATATATATATATATATATATATATACAGATATAAATCTATAATTTGTGTCTGTCTGTTTTTTTTTAATTTGTTCACATGTTATGCATGACTAAAACTACAGAATGGAATGGAAAATTTTTGATGCAGTTATAACAGTAAGAGATATCTTAATACTTGTAATATGTCTTACAACTCACATAGGGCATGCTGTAAGTTAATTATTTTAGTTTATAATATCTGAACGAAATCCCACCAAAAATATCTGTAAATATAAGCCAACTAGACTGCAGGACTGTGTGTTTTGTCATAAAAATTGAAATGTAGACTTTTCCCAATTTCCTTGTTTGCTTGCTGCCCTTGAAAATTTTTTGCCAAAATGCGAAATCTCTTTTGCTACCACATTCTTAATCTATTATTACTTTCCCAGGCTGTTGGAAAATGGTGCAAAGAGAACTCAATCAACCTGGTTGTCATTGGCCCAGAGGATCCATTGGCCAATGGCATTGTAGATACCCTATCTTCGATGGGTATCAAATGCTTTGGCCCCACAAAAGCTGGTGCGGAGATAGAAGCCAACAAGAGCTGGTCCAAGAAATTTATGATGAAGTACCAGATACCAACCGCAAGATACCAGTCCTTCACTGATGCTAGTGCTGCTAAAGAGTTCATTAAAAGGTATGCTTGGTTTCTTGTTTCTATATGTAAGCTTTACTCTAGGAAAGGAGACGAGTACAAGTTGCTTGGCCATTTTAAGCTATATGATAAGTGAAACCTAGAGTGGTTAGATCGAAGGTAGGTTACAATCTTTGATTATATACCTGTCTAGATGCCACATTGTCCGCACAGAACGGCCCAAATAAAGTCTATTAAAATTGGTAGACTCGCTTCTCACTTACGTCAGTGTTATTTGAAATTAGGGATAACATGCAAATCAAATCAAATCAAATCAAATTTGATTTGATTTTGATTTGATAACATGCTCACGGAAAATAATTAGTTATTCCGGGTTGTGCTGTTAAATTGTGTCGCAATTACGTGGGAAAACCGTATAATAACACCAAGATCACCATTTTCATCAATAAGTTTTGTTATTTAACCACTATTGTTGTATGAAAACACGATTTTTTAATTTGTTACTTTATAAGTTAGTCTGTTCAGCCGGTGTTTAGCCGGAGTTTTGACTAAATTATGGGAGACAAAATACAAATATTATTACATCGTCTTTCAATCAGGAGAACATTATTATTTTAAAAATTACTTTAGTTATTTGATCAGTAAATGATAACTTACCTACACAACATAAATGGAATCCTTGACGTCATGCACTAAATAGTATTTTTGTTAGTTTTTTCAAATATTTTTATATTTTTAAATAAAATAAATAAAACTAATCCACATGATAATAACTTTATTAAACCTATTTTGTTCAAATTTCATCTGATAAAACAAGTATATAATCAAAGCCTCCGCCGTTTGGTCTCCCCTGGCGTGGTCTCTCATCTGGTTGGAGTTTTATTTATTTATGTATTTTATTTATTTTATTTTATTTTATTAATATGTATGTATATTTATCATTTTCATTAACGTATTTATAAAACTTACATAGTTGTACATAGTACACATGTTTACCACATCTGACATGTGAAAATTATTTAACATAATATATCAAATCATTATTTTTATAAGTAAGCAAGTCAATATATAAATAATTTAAATCAAATCAAATAAAATTATTTAATAGTACAATTGTCATATGAAACGTTATTATTTTAAAACTAAGCAAATCAAAATAAGTATATATATAAAAAAATTAAAATGTCAAATGAGTACTTAATCTAATGGTAAATATTCAAGAGCTGGTATCACTCAGCTCGCCTCCGAGTGACGCAGCGCGCTTGTTAAACAATAGTAGTTACGCATACTTGTGTGTGTAATAAGCACACAAGCGCTCGAAATCGGACCCGTTGTTTTTGTTACGATTGTAGTGCAACACTCTATCTAGACAGGTATATAATCAAAGGTTACAATGCTGTGAAAGAAAATGAATACTTGTGTGAATTTCGGCGGCGGCGTTGTCATCACGCTACAATAGCGTAAAACGGAACGGACAACAACCGAAGCCTAAATCACGCTTCAAAGTTTCCGCACGTTTCTAAATACATAAAGAATAAGATCTGTTCCTCTGGTTGTACCCTTCTTCAGCAAGAGATCTCAGCTTTTCCTTCTATGGTTAAACCACAAATAATGTCTCTGGCTTTGGGATTATTACCTAGAAACTTTTATAGATAAGCAGCGTACTTTTTTCAATTTTACCGCAATGAGTGTTATATCGGGCACGAGTGGGCTTGGAGAGTGTGTGAAAGACGTAAATTTGTGGCGCTACTATGTCCTATCGCTGCGCTTCTTACAATCGAAACAACACGAAATTAAGAAAAACTTCTTCATTGTTAAAAATAATATTTTGTCATTAAGTAATTCCTTACAGTGCTCCCTTCCCAGCGTTGGTCGTTAAAGCCTCCGGTCTGGCGGCCGGCAAAGGCGTGGTAGTAGCCTCGACCAAGGAAGAGGCGTGCCAAGCTGTGGATGAGATCTTAACCGACGCGAAGTATGGCTCCGCCGGTCAGACCGTCGTTATTGAGGAACTTTTGGAGGGCGACGAAGTTTCCGTAAGTAATTTCTTCGTTCGTTCTTTGTTTTCTTATGACTTACTACTGCCCGATATACTGCTAATAATAAGTATTTTTTTTATAGAATAAGGATGACAAACGGGAACATAGTCCACCTGATGGTAAGTGGATGCTATGGCCCATAGATATCTACATACATATATCCTCGATTAAGAATCAAAACGCAGATGCGTTGCTCCCCTGAGGATGGAATGCCTCGTTCCCAGTAAAAAGTGGTCTCCAGTTTTCAATATTCATCATACGCTGCTTGCTCATTAACCTGTTATTTTACGCTGATAATCTTTGAGAGTGTTATCGTGCTACAAACATAACATAGCTGCAGCATGACTACCTGATATAGTATAAAAATCTTGTGTAATAATTAAAATAAATCTTTTAATTATTTTTGCGTTATAGATGTTCGACAGGTTATTTGATAAAAAAATCAATATAACACTGCAAAAATTTAAAAAGTGAAGATTAATTGATCTCCGATCACGAGTCACGTGACTTATCGTTGATTTCATTCATTCATATCATAGAGTGCGAGGTTGTTTGTGTGTCTGAGTGTGTAAACAAAATATTATGCTGCTGCGTTTTGAACGGTGGGTGTAGAGAACCGGATATTCTTTTCACATTACAATGCCATCTCATGACAACTTCCTTATCTTAATCGATTTCATTCATACCATCCACTTACATACAGGTTGACTGTGTACTCATTTTTCACTTTTATTCTATAAAAAAAGGCTTAGTTTTAGTTTTTAACACACAATACAATACTCTATTGTACACCAACGAAACATAAATATTACAAATAATGAACAACAATGAGGGAAAAACAAAAGGCGGTCTTATTGCTACATAGCAATCTCTTCCAGACAACCCAGAGGAGGAAATTAATAAAAATAATTATAATAAATTAATAATGACATAGTAACAACGCAAAATATTTACGTTTAAATAATATTGCGTTTTACTTTTACTGATGTATTATTTGATTCTGTTACAAAATACGTTCACCTTGTTGAAATTGTCGATACTCCAGGCCGATAAGCCGGGGTCATTCGACACAAAGGAACGGCAGCTTGAAGTCTGCGACGTACGTTGGGGTCTCGGATAAGATTTCATATCATTACTCGCTTTATTTCAGGCGCTAATTAGTAGTTCTCTATTTTGTCACTAAGACAACGCTTTGATTGTTTCTATACGCTTGATAAACGCGTTATAATAGTAATTATAATTATAAAAGTTATGTCGAAAATATATTTTTACACACATCGCGTTGATTGTCTCCATGATTTGGATACTCAATTTGTACTCTTTATGTAGTCTTTGTTTTGTCTAGTCTTGGCTTCTCGGTGAGAAAGAAGTTAGCGGTTCTTAGGGTAAATATAACTTAAACGTTAAAATAAGAAAACAAAGGGTTATAGACAACACAAGGCAGATCATACATCACGTTTCGGAGGAGGGAATGATATGGAAAGAGATTATAAAATTACGTTCCCGCTAAACTAAATTATTTAAATGAATCCTCCCAACGTGTTGAACTGCTTATAAATTTAAATAGGATCAAAGTCATGTTTAACGGTCACGTCAGATTCGTAATAGAATTTTCTGAGAGGTTTAACATAATCAAAACAGAACAATATGGCTTCCAGAAAAAGAAATCTACAACGCTAGCAACTTTTAATCTTATAAAAACAAAAAAATAATAACCTACTAACAACAGGATTATTATTTGATTTAAGTAAAGCCTTTGACTTTGTCACACATAGTTTTCTTTTCAGTAAATTAGATTTGTTTGGTATTAGAAGAATAGCTCTACAGTGGATTTCATCTTATTAATTAAATCGACGGCAGTGTGTCGTTATTGATAAAATGGTAAAATAATGAAATATTATCCTTCTCAACTAAGTACAGAGAAAAAAAATTACGGTGTTCCTCAAGGTTGTGTTTTAGGGCCGGTATTATTTCTTTTATACATAAATGATATAACTCTGGCAACAAATCACAAATGTATATTGTATGCGAACGATATTTCCGTAATTGTAACATCTAAAAAAACAGTAATTAATTACATAATCATGAAAAGGAAATAAATGACACAATCGATAATATAACTTATTGGCTGCATACAAACAATTTGAAAATTAACCTACATAAATCAAATTACATACATTTTAATAAAATAAAAACTAATTCTAATCTAAACATCAATAAAATTAAGGAAATAGAACAAATTAAATTTCTTAGTGTAATTATAGATCGAAATTTAGACTGGAAAATACATATAGATGACCTATGTCAAAGAGTTAATCGTTTTGTGTATGCACTACGTACCATAAAAAATGTAACTAATAAAAAAACAGCCCTATTATGCTATCGGACGTATATTGAATCTATACTTCAATATGGTATAATAATGTGGGGTAATAGCACAGATTGGCGTAGGGCATTTATCGCACAAAAGAAGTGTATAAGGACGATATGTAGTATCCCAACTAGAGAATCCTGTAAACCAATATTCAAAAATCTGTCTTTACTAACTCTGGCCTCGTTATATATTTTTGAGATAGGTAAATTTGTAAAACAGCATACATATTTAATTAAAAAGTCATCTGATATTAATCCTAGGCTTAAAAAAATCGGAATAGATTAGTTCTAAGCGAAGTTCCGAAGTCAGCTAAATATAGTAAATGCTGTTTATCAATGTGTGCACGAATATACAACAAAATACCAGATGAAATTAAAACACTACATAATATGAACTTATTTAAAAAAAGATTATACCATTGGTTAATCGACAAAAATATTTATGACATTAATGAATTTCTGACATTTTAAACTACATTTTGACATTGTAAAACATAATTATAATTTAAATAAAAATGTTTAATTTGTTAATTTTAATACTATATAGGTTATCTTGATTTAAATGTAATTTGCATGCTATATTATATTAAAATAGCAAAACACGTGGGTATAATAAAACTCTGAAACATCTGTATTAATTACCATGTTTTATGCAAATAAAGACTATTATTATATTATTATGGGGTATTAGTAGTGTATTCTCATCTGGTTGGGTTGAATAAATATATAAAAGGTATTGATAAATATACATAAATATATATTCCATATACCAGCACAAATAAATAAATAATACATAAATAAATAAAAGCCCAACCAGATGGAGGCACTCGGCGGCGGCCGAGGGTGCGGGGATGCGGGCGGTATCGAGGAGCACCGCCTTCTGCATTTGAGCCTGGAGCGGTCCGCCACAGAGTCCCAGCCTCCTCAGATGACCCGAGAGGCTGACTGGTATTAGCCCGTTTGCACAAACGACTACAGGAATAATTTCAGTCGGCAGACCACCCCACATGTCGGTCACCTCGTGAGCCAGGTCCAGATATTTTGTTCGTTTATCTGTTTCGGCTTTCACGAGGTTCTCGTCATACGAAATGGTAATGTCGACCAAAAATATCCTTGACTGTGCCCGGTCCATCAGCACAATATCAGGCTTATTCGCAATAATAGTCCTGTCCGTGATGATGGCCCGGTCCCAGTAGAGCCTGGCGCGATCATTTTCGAGCACGGCTTCCGGCAAGTACTTGTAATACGGCAGTTTCCGATCCACGAGACCGTATTTCAGAGCGAGCTCCTGGTGAGAATTCTGGCTACTAGGTTGTGCCTGTGCAAGTACTTAGAGTTAGAAAGCACCGAACAACCGGAGATGACATGCCTAAGTGACTCACCGGGATGGCGACAAGCTCGACAGATGTCGACGGTGCCATCCTTTAGGATGTATCTTCGATAGTTGTTGGTCTTAATAACCTGATCCTGTATTGCACAGACAAAACCCTCGGTTTCCCCGAAGAGGTCACCAAAGCGTAGCCAGTGGAGGGAGGCTACTATGTCTACGAAAGGCTCATGTAGAGCCTTGTAGAACCTCCCGTGGAGCTCCTTCTCCTTCCATACGGTCTCCTGGTCGGAAATGCTCTGCACTGCCGGGTCTTGCCATTGCTCGTTGACTAAGGAGAGAGGGGAAGAAGTCCTTTATCACAAGAAATGACGTCCTTACAGAATGGATCATCCGATCTCGCCAGGAAGTAATTACGGAGGCTGCACACTTCGCGATTATGCATGGTGAGCACGCTCAAAAAGCCACGCCCACCATGCTTTCGCGGCAAGTACAGCCTCATTACCGACGATCTCGGATGATGCATCTTATGGGACGTCATAGTAGTGCGGACTTTTCTATCTAGGGCGTTAAGTTCAGTCTGAGTCCACCTGAGTATGCCAAAGGTATACATGAAGACAGGCATGACTCAACCGTTATATGCGTGTGTCTTATTCACACCAGACAAAAGGCTGTTGAGCACTTTGGTCAAACGTAATTAATTATATTATGATTATTATTCGATTGTTATCGTTGATGGTGAGATTCTTGAAGTCGTTCATGAGTATACCTACCTCGGCCAGATAGTACAGTTAGATAGAAACAACTTTTTGAGAAAGAAACCGATAGGCGGATTCAGTTGGGCTGGGCAGCATTCGGGAAGCTTCGTCAGGTATTATCGTTGCCCATTCCGCAAAGCTTTGATCAGTGCGTTCTGTCTGTACTCGCATATGGTGCCGAAACGTGGACACTAACGGTACAACTACTCCATAAACTCCAAGTCACCTAGCGTTTGATGGAAAGAGCTATGATGGGAGTTTCTCTGGTGGACTATTTTTTAAAGATATTAATATTTAACCATCCGCTAAATTATATAAAATGATGTGTCTTCCCTAGTTTGAAGAGCACCTCCCGCCCTCCCTCAATTCACTAATCCCGTCACCACCAATCCCAGCAACACTACTCCCAACACCACTATTCTAGGCAAGACACACTATCGAGGATAATAGGGACATGTGTTTTGCCGCTACATGAGGCATCTTCAGGTCATGTTGACTCTACGGCGGCTGACCGCTAAGATCTCTTAGCTCTCTTATCTCTTAGCTCTCTTATCTCTTAGCTCTCTTATCTTCTTTCCGCAAAATAACGCCTGTTTCTATCAATTATAGACTACTATTTTTTGTTAAAATAATTCTTTCAATTTTTCCATACAATACGGCAATTTCAGTCAATTTCTGTCAATTAATTTTTTTGGGAAAGATATACAAAGGTATCCTTCAAACAGACTAAAGAGAAAGATATTTTAGGCAAGAGGCGAGTGCAGACAGTACCAAGCCGTAGACGGCAAATTGTAGATGGATTAGATGTTTACTTTAATAGCTATATTTAAAAAAGACTTGGACTTGAGGTTATTGGGGTTGAATTTTATCGTAGCGACAACCTTTGACATGTCTGGAGATTTCTTTAAACAATTTGTGTAAGTGACTAGGTCTTTACAATAATTCTTCAAATAACAACAGCCAGTGTTTTCATATCTATTGGCCCAGGAGTCAACCTGTCCGTTTTAACTATGCTACAATGGCCAGTTTCTTCTGATCGACTCGGTATCACCGGTATTGCTAAGAAATGTTGCGTCTCTTTGCATTTCTATTGCATTTTCCACGAGAAGTGTTCAGAAAATTATTCGGATTGTCTCCAGCCGCCAAATTCCGTGATCGCAAATCGCAAAAAATCTCACGATACCATCCATACCGTCTGCATGTTTAGAGATCCACCACTGCTATTTACTAATATTTTCATCCTCGTATGATTTCCTTGTGAAATCTACCACGGGCTTTTGTTCTAAATCAATACCAGCTATGAACTTTTAAGAAAGGACTTTACTCGTTTTTAATATATTGGCAACGCACCTGTAATTCCCCTAGTGGTCCAGTTGTTCATGGGCGGCGGTCGATACTTCAGGTCAGCCGCATGCGCGTGGATGAATCCAAGCTAAAACATCACGCCTGTAACTCAGAGGGATGAGACTACGGAATGAGGGCGAATAATCTTCCGCTCACCAGAAAAAGTAAATAAAAAACATAAGTCCTAATTTATAGTTAGTTCAGTTAGTATGGAAAGATTCATGATCTAATTTAAATATTTTATGAATAACAGCGGTTTATTGTTTAGTTAGTAGGTAACTTTGGATATTTTTTCTATCGAGAAAATTTTACGGAATCGTGTTTTCGTCTAACATAGTACTTAACATTAATCCTCAACTTCACCATATATTTATTTCAAAATTAATGCTGCAATATTTACGGCATAACGGAGTATCTTGCTAAGCAATTTGAGGTAGTATTTTTAATATTTCTCCCTAATTGAGCAGTTAGTGATTAAAACTACTTTTACGGATTTTATCGCGTTTATTTTTACTTTTAATTACTTTTATTTTTAATTCCCGACGTTTCGGGCGCTTTCCAGCACCCATGGTCACGGGGGACTGAGATGACTGACGTCCCGATGTCATTGTTAAACCCGAAATACCTTCAGCTTTTTTAATTATTGTTTATGGTCCGATCTATGCAAAATGAACTGACTATGTCCTAAGGTCTTGCAGTGGTATGCTTGGGTATAGTTTTAATTTTATTGATTATAGGATCCCCAGCAGGTGGTAGTACCCAGCCTCCTTCTCTATTGAAATTAGGATGTTTTTTGATTTCAATAGCCTCACGTATCATCCTTGGTAGGAATCGGTGTTCTTTCGCGAGGATTTGTGGTCTATCAAATCTGATGTAATGGTTGGGGCCGTCTAGGATATGATCACAAACTGCAGACTTCCCGGACCGTTGATGCTTCACATCAGCTATATGTTCTTTTACGCGGGTTCTAATTGATCTTTTTGTTTTACAAGAGAGACCATGCATCTTGTAGAGGAATATGACACTTGACGGATGGTAGGAACTGACTAATCTTCTTCGGCAGCTTGTAGAATGTTCTAATAGAAGCTCGCTTCAAGATATAGCCAATCTTGTCTGTGACACGTCTGACATATGGTAGTACAGCAGGCACACGCTCGACTGTGGCCGGCTTCACTCGGTCACTGTGACGTAGGCGCGGGACCCGAAGCTTGTTGTCGTGCAGAACCTGCTTGACGTGCTGAAGCTCGGCGGCCAGGTGTTTGCTGTCACAGATCCCTCGTGCTCTCTGTAACAAAGATTTGCCCACGGTAGCTAACTGTGAAGGATGATGGTGAGATTCACCGTTTAAATATCGATTTGTATGGGTCTTTTCCTATACACAGTGTGACCAATGGTGTTGTTAGGATTTCGGATGACTAACACATCTAGGAAAGGTAAGGAATTATTTGCCTCTAACTCCATAGTAAATTGAATTTTAGAGTTTATAGAATTAAGATGTTCTAAAAATGCAGTTTCTTTGTCTGATGGTAAAATTGTGAAAGTATCGTCTACGTACCGCTTTAGATCCTTGGTGATAAAATCTCTGGCGATAAAATCCGTAAAAGTAGTTTTAATCAATGTGTAGTTCATCAATGTAGTGTTCGCGTAAATATAAGAAATCATTATGAGCAGTTAGTTTCAAATAAAAGTTTCTCAGTTTCTAGAGTGCTATATTAATACACCACTAAACAATGGCATAGGGGTTTGCTCTTCAATTTTTTGCACATTTTTAACTCTTTTTTTAATTTTCTACATTTATGAATATCTGTGGTTTGGTTTATTTATTTTTAATCTAATTAATATAAAATACAACTAAAGAGTACCTAAAGAAATATGAATTTTTACATTTTTCGAACAAATTGAGTTCCCCGCTATGAAATCTGTCAAATGTTACACCTCATTTGTAAGTTGCGCCGCTCTGGTGACAGAAAAAGTTGTGGATATTCTGTTTGGTCGTGTTTGTTTCCGTTTGGCACAATCTCTTTCTCACATCTCTCTTTCTTCCTTTCACATCCATATATTTACGTATACGTGGTCGTCGACTAAGGATACTCTTAATTTTGCCCATGTTCAATATATCATCAATTTGGTCGATAAACTTCTGTCTAGGGTGTCCCTTGTCGACTCTGCCACTTACTTCTGCAACATAAATTTGTTTTGCCACTCTTTCCTCATTCATTCTTCCTACTTGTCTAAACGAAGCATTCCTTTCTTAATCCTAGTCACAACATCTTGCAAACGACACTTTTCTTCTATCTGATGATGATGATTTTAATTCGATTATTCGAATATGAATTGAACTTTAAAATATAGCTCTGTAAAGCGAATAGACAGACACTATGGTTCATAAAAGATAGCTTGATCTCTGCGACAGCTGTCAGTAAAATCACTCCTGAATTTCTTAGTAGTACAGACAGTACTTGTCTATGTAATACTTTATGGGCGTGCCGACCTAATTAGTGCACGCCCATAAAGTGTGACATTGACAGGTACTGTCTGTACTACTAAGAAATTCAGGACTTCATAGGCGTGATTTTACTGACACCTGTCGCAGAGATCAAGCTTATCTTTTATGAACTATAAACAGCGTTTTTTAACAGTGTATGTAACATCACTGAAGCCGGTGAAAAAATTAGAACTGATAAGGCAAAATTACTCTTAATAAAGAGTAAGAGCTAAGCCATAGTTTAAAAAATAATTTTCGCCGCGGCTTCGAAAGCTATTATGTGGAAATTATTTTAATATATTTTTTTTTGAGTGGGCTAAGGAATCACAAGATCAACGTAACAACTGAATATCGTCTAAATATTTGTGTTAAAACTTCATCCCACCTTTCGGCTTAGTATTTTTTTTTCTCATCATTACAATTTACAACCCTTCGTTACATACAAACATAAGTCCACTGCTGAACATAGTGGAATAGGATAAGGAGTAGGCCACACAAGTGCGGTCAGTCTTGATCATCTACTTCCTTAATCTCTTACCAGGTTGTTCTCCAACTCGTGCGGCCGTTCTATTGTAATTCGCTTACCGGTGCGAGGCTGTCACTTAAGGCTTTCGTCTAAAATGGTAGGTGACGGGCAAGGCAGTTATAAACTTAACGTCCTAAATTTGAAGACGTAACTCAACTATCTCTTGACACAAATATTCTTTTGAGTGATATAATTTTCTTCACGTGACATATCTTTAGAATCGATTACTATCCATCATTTTGTACGTGGTTGAGCCATGCTGCAACTATACGCGGATGTTGTAGCACGTGAAAACGCAAACTGCATTTTGATTCATCATTATCATCATCATCATTACAGCCTTTCACAAGTCCACTGCTGAACATAGGCCTCCCCCAAGGAATGCCACAAAGCACGGTCCTGAGACATCTGCATCCACCGACTTCCTACATGGCTTACCAGGTTTTGATTTTTAATCGGGGATAAATGTCGGTGTCTATGGGCCACAGCATCAACTTACCATCAGGTGGACTGCGTGCTCGTTTGTCACCCTTATTCTATAAAAAATATATTAATATCGTAAATCATGTAAATAGAGGTTAAGTATCCGTTAAAGGTTCAGATTATAAATATATGTACGATCGACTATCTTTGTAGGTACTCGCATTCACTGATGGGGAAATGGTGTCGGTGATGCCACCAGCTCAAGATCACAAACGCGTGGGTGACGGTGACACGGGTCCCAACACCGGCGGCATGGGCGCCTACTGTCCCTGTCCGCTCATCACGCCAGACCAGTTTGCAGACGTCAAGGACCAGATCTTACAGCGAGCTGTCGATGGACTCAAGGCTGAGGGCATTAAATATGTCGGTGAGTGGCACTAGCGTAATTGATTTCGAGGTTGTAGTTCTAAGTTATGGTGTTGGGTTGCTATAGAATGCATCAGTAAAGTTTTGGATGAACCTTTAATCTAGAGTTCGGGGCCTTAGAGAAAAGTCTACTCCTTATTAAATGGCCGACAACGCACCTGCAATTCCCCTGGTGTGGGATGTGGTAGTGCGGATGTTCATAGGTGATTATTTACCGTCTGGTGAGCTCTATGCTCGTTTCCCGCCTCTTAAATAAGAAAAAACCAGGTGTCTTAGAACTGTTCTTTGTGCGCGTTGGCTATGTGAAAATCGTGAAACTACCCGCGTCAGGGATCAATTTAATGTTAAGGCACTGGTCCTAGCGAACGACCTTGAGCGTTCGGTTCCAAACATTTCACGCGCTCTCGCTACAATAAATCGCGTAAGAAATACGCCCAAATTTTAAAATATTTTCTTTATAAAATCCGAACGAATCGAATCTATCGAATTTTAGTCCTTTGAAAAAATTCATTTGATCAAAATGTTCATTAGTAAATTGCCTATCCGTTTTTTTTTATAAAAGAGGGGGCAAACGAGCATGCGGCTCACATGATGTTTAGTTACTACCGCCGCCCATGATCAACCGCAACACCAGGGGAATTGCAGGCGCGTTGCCGGCCATTTAGAAAGGAGTAAGCTCTTTTCTTGAAGGTCCCCAGGTCGTATCGGTCCGGAAAAATCGCCGGTGGTAAACTATTCCATAGAGAGGTCGTACGCGGAATTCCGGACTATAGGGGTCTTAGGCAGTACTTTATAATCCGACAAATTCGATAGACCGACACTGTCCTGCAAAATTGTGTGTCGGGTTACCGGGGGTCCACTGTATTATTGGAACTTTTAGTATATTATGCTGTAAATTAAAACAGAATACTTATAAATACCGCTAAGGAGACCATTTTGCTCCATACTGTCCGTTTCTTATCCGTCCATTTTCTCAAATAATTCAGACATTTTACTATCTTATACTAAGCGAGAGAAATGACCTCAGTATTCGTGCCTACTTAGATAAGGAATAGCAAGCAATCGTTACCTACAGTAACCAGTCGGAACTGAACTCTAATCAATACCTTATATAAACGTACATACGTGTTAGTTTAACCTGCAAGACAAACTGCTGGTTGCGAGGCTATGTTTAACTCGTGCCCACTGTATATAGTGTAAAAGGTCTAAAGGTCTGTGACGAGCGCACTGACTGCCCTAGCGAAGATAACTAAGATATAAATTTAATTATTGATAATTCTGCAGCTTTTTTAACTAGTTGTCAACCGAGATGGGTATTATATAAGCTGTAAAAATATGCCTGCTTATTAGTTCATCTTCTTATCTAAGTTATTGCTATACCGTTTATCGTTCTTAGCGTTTAGCTAATAATTCTCTTACATCATCAATGATACAAATCAATTCAAACAACTTTTACAATCTAAAAAGTTTCAGATTAATTAAATTTACTATGAAAATGTGCTATGTGTCCAACAAAAATAAAATAATTTCATACAAAGATTGAGCTTCCTCAAAAGATAAGCAAACTGAGGAACGGAAACAGAAACTTTTTTATTTAATACAGATTATAAATAATACTTATTGAAAGTCACTTTTTTAATTTAGCGCTGGTTCGGAAAAAATACCTCTGTCCGGGGAAGAACCAGTCCGAAACCCCAGTGGGACAATTTTTTTTTAAATAACAGCTTTTTTATAGAATAGGATGACAAACGAGCACACAGTCCACCTGATGGTAAGTGGTTGCTGTGGCCCATAGACATCTACATCTATCGTCGATTACGAATAGAAATGCAAACGCGTTGTCACCCGTGAGGACTAAGATGGAATGCCCCGTTTCCAGTAAAAAGGGTCTCCGGTTCTCTACACTCACCATACGAAACACAGCAGCATTAAGCTACTATTTTACGCTGGTATTCTGTCAGAGCGTGGTTCTTCCCCGGCCGAGCCGACCCATTCGTGCTACAACTATACTACTAATATAACTGCTGCATGGCTCTACCACGTTAAAAAGCTTAAAGCTTAAAATCATGTATGCTACAATTAACAACACAAAACGAATTAGAAATAGCTTAGTAGCGATCACCCTTCCCAGGGGTTATTAGTTATTACCATCCATAAATTTCTTATTTTTATAATAACCCCTTTTATACAAACTTACTTTAATAAAGTTGTTGAATTTTGTATATTTGTGTCAAATTTTCTGGGATTTTATTGCAAAAGCGTATACATAGCCCCAAGAATGAATTACTGACTCGGTGGAGTCGAGTAACTGGTACTACTAGCTTGTGTCTGTTCCTAGCATTTGCAGAATGAATATCACTTATTTTTGTAAATCTACTTTTATTTTTGTGTACTTACGTTATATTTTCATGCTCTAATGGCCTTCGCTGTAAAACACATATAATTTTAGTGTCAGTCGCGTGTCCCCATGGCAAAATGCCATAGGACATTATACTATTGAAACAGTAGAATAGAAATGGAAATAGTTGCTAGGCTTTTTTACTTTTTCCATACTACGGAAAAATTAAACTAGTCTAGCTGTTTCAACACTGGTAAGAGTTTTAATCTTTTTTGAAGCATATGCTGCTATACTGCTGCAGACCTAAATCTGTAGCAGTTTTGATATATGGTGGTCCCATTGAAGCTTTGCGTCCAGTGTGATTCCAAGAAAAATGGTGGTATCAACAAGACCCAGCTCCTCCCCATTTAATATTACGTTGGTATTAACATGTTTGGCATTCGGAGTTACGAATTTCATAAATTGTAATTTTGGTTCCATTTAAATGCAAATTATTAACATTAAACCAATTTACTAACTTAGATAAGTATAGCATTATTTACAAAGCAGCATAACACAGTGTAGGTAACAAACTGCCAACTGGCGTACCTCAGGGATCATTCTTAGGTACAATTTTATTTTCAGATGTCTTTTATTCGGCACGGCTTACGTGGATTTCGGTTTATCCCCATCAACATTTTTATTTTTTAGATTATTTCAAAAAAAAAAAAAATGTAAACCGACTGTAATTATTATTGGTTTTAGAGTATATATTTATATGGGACCATTACGATATCATTGTCAGTAAATATTGAGCTAAATCGGTTAATTGACCACGTAAATACCGAGTTATATCTTATATCCGTTTGTGGCCGTAAAAGGAATAGGGGAGATCTTCCGCCGGGCAAGGTGTTCTGCCCGGGGAGTGGCTAACGCTCCGTGTGATAATTCGGAGCTGTTCTATATATACTGTTTATGGTACGGAACTTTGATAGCGCGATTTAGGCTTCGGTGTATTTCGCTTGTGGCGCGACATCAGCGCCGCCACACTTTCAAAAACGTATTCTAATTGAGAATCTCCTCCTTTATAGAAGCTCGCTAAAATAGATATTAAATTAAAAAAATAAAGTATTAAACGTCACCCTATATACGTCGACGGACACAGGCCTCCTCACAATTCTGAGAAGTTTCAAAATATTATGTAAATAGCGGACATCCTCTTAAAAACCATACTATTCGACTCTAAAGACCTTGATACGTGGAGATATGTTAAAATTTCCAATTTGCAAAATCGGACCCATTACAATAACTTCCCACTAGGAAGTTAAAAAAAATTATTATAATTTCATTTTGCAAAATTCATTGCTTTATATAATAGTCAAAAATGATGTGGTTTTTATGTTTTCTTATTTGTTTTTTTTTTACGTGGTAGAGCCATGGAGCTGCAGCTATATTAGTAGTATAGTTGTAGCACTCACCTTACGAAACACAGCAGCTTAACGCTTTTGTGTTTCGTATGATGAGTGTAAAGAACCGGAGACCCCTTTTACTGGAAACAAGGCATTCCATCTTAGTCTTCACGGGTGACAACGCATCTGCAATTTGATTAGTGGTCGAGGATAGATGTAGATGTCTATAGGCCGCAGCAACTACTTATTATCAGGTGGACTGCGTGCTCGTTTGTCACCCCTATCCTATAAAAAAAGCGTAAAATACCCAAACTGGCGATGGCAGGAGTATCAAAAGTGTCTATGTACATCTGGAATTAGATCGGCAATCCGTTTGCCCAGTGTGACGATCGAGGTAAATCCTTCTCACATCGAGAGAAGCTCGCGTACATACTGCAACATACGGGATTTTTAATTATAGGTAAGAATTATAAACGTAATTTACGGCCAGAAGGGACTCGATCTCAAAGATGTCTCGTGTAAAGATACACACATCGGCGACGGGTAACAACGTGAAAGGTTTGAGATATCTAGTACTGGGATTGCGACCCCCGTGAAGATCACAACAAATCTCAATTCCATACGTGGGCTTTAACGGGCTAATCAAGAAAGAACTTTACTAAAGTTACTTAGAGGTAATAAACAAAAATTAAAATACAAAAAAAAATATTTCTATTATTTCCCCGAATTTGTTCTAATTGTCCTTTTTCCTAATTTGACATAGATGTCCTATTGTAGATTTTGTTTGAATTTCAATAATACGAGTATATTAATTGTTTCTTAGAGTTTATTAGTCCGAAAATAGGTCATCATTTGAATAAATTTGTATAATCTAGGTTGATTGAATAAATTGATACAAAAGTTACAGCCTATATATTCGTCCTACTCCTGGGCACAGGCCTCCTCTCATCGAGATCGTGAGGCTTTTAGGGTAAGGAATAGTCCGCCGCGCTGCCCCAATGCGTGTTGGCGTACTTCACATGTCTTCGAAATATTTTTTTTTATTTCTCAGACATGCAGGATTCCTCACGATGTTTTCCTTCACCGCCGAGCACGTGGTAAATCAGCACTTAATATTGCAATTAACAATTTCATTGGTGCCGGCGGGAATCGAACCCGGTTTGCTCGCGTATTGTGAAATTTACAGCGAGCGCTAACCATCTGAGCTACCACGGGCGGAAAAAAATTGATAAAAATTAATACCTAATTAATATTTTAGTATGTTGCGTGTGTAAT